ACCTGTGAGTGTGGTACATCTCCACGACCAGATTATAAATTCTTTGGGGGCAGAGACTCAGTACTACATGTGCTGAACAAGCACCTGGGTAGACTTCAGGAAAGAACTTCTAGAGCCAGCCTCCTACTCTGAGGGTCTTAAAACAATCTGGAGATTCTCTATTCCTACAACTGGGAGAGGCAGGTATGGCTGAACCCGGTTTCTCACCAAGAACAAGGGAGGATTTGTTGGGTCTCTGACCCAGCTGGCAGACAGGAAAATAAGGGCCCTTCAGCATCAGCTCAGTTCATTGCCCTGAACCCACACTCACAAGGCATTTCCCCGAGATAAGCAAAAACAGAGGTTTGTACAGATGTATGCAGAGATGTTGGATTTAAAAAAAAAAAAAAAAAAAAAGGAGGAGGAGGAAATCTCTGCTCTTCAAAAACCATGTCCGTGATTTACATGCATAGCACTCTTGGCATACAAGCAGGGCTCCAGGAATTTGGTGGTTTAGTTAGGGCCAGTTTTAAAGGTTAAATGAATCCCAAGATGGCATTTCTGAATTCCCGACAACTGGTTAGTGGCAACGAGCTGGAGAGCGGTCAACATGGCATCCCCATCCATCTCTTTGCGCTTCTGAGTAAATTCAGACCGTCTAGCTGGCTTGGTGTCCCTCCCTGCACTGAAAGCCATTTCAGAGAAATATTAGTAGATGCCATTTGTGGCTTGTCATTTCCAGGCTAAAGTTCAACTTGCAGGTTGCTGTGGCTGTATTTTAAATTACATTCTGGTCCTCTGATATCAGACATTGCTGATGTTCTTTGAAGAACACAACAACGGGGGGTCACCTATCAATCAGCAGCAACAAGAAGCCACTCATGGAAGGGAAACAGATGGGGAGGGGACGCTTTGGAGCAACATTGCTTCTTAGAATAAGTACATTTTGCCAATTTCATTCCTTTTTAGTATCCGTTCTTTTCTTTTCACCTTTTAAGCTTGCTAGAGAGTTCCCTGTACATTCTGGCAGGATGCCAGCGTTCTATAGCTTCTCTCAACCAGCAGGTTGAGGAAAGTTCCCATTTGGGCCGGCGAAAAACATTTTCTGCTGAAATTTGGGGCTTCGTGTAATGACTCTGCAACTACAGGTGCCCATCTGGCTGAGGATCTAAGCTCAGCTCTGGGATTTGACATTGGCACTGTGCCATGCCGGGAGCGCACCTTGGTGGCTCAGCTCTCTCCGGGGTCTGTTCTTCTCACTCATGACCACACTACAAAATCTGAAAAGCAGGGGTGCCTGGGTGGCTCAGTCGGTTAAGCGTCCGGCTTCAGCTCAGGTCACGATCTCACAGTCCGGGAGCTCGAGCCCCGCGTCGGGCTCTGGGCTGATGGCTCAGAGCCTGGAGCCTGCTTCCGATTCTGTGTCTCCCTCTCTCTCTGCCCCTCCCCGGTTCATGCTCTGTCTCTCTCTGTCTCAAAAATAAATAAACGCTAAGAAAAAAAAAAAATTCAAAATCTGAAAAGCAGGGAAACTCCTCTTCTCCATCTACCTTTTTTTGCTTCTGGATCGTGTGACTCCAGACAGCTGATTTGCCTTAGCTAGAAATCAAGGAACATACCCGCAAATGGCAGAGTTCATTTCTTCCCGCAGCTCACCCCTTGAAACCTCACATGACAATTCCTCCGTTATTGCCATCTAGCACTGATCTCTCTCCTCTCACTCTATCTGTAGCAAAAAGTGTCATCTTCATCCATGCGGACAGTCCTCCTGGGACCGAGGGGCCCGCTGCCAGGCATGCAGGACCTGGGTGCAGGGGAGACGCTGTATGTCCAGGTATGTGCAGAAATCACCAAAGTTTGGGTCAAGAGAATGGTGTATTCCCCTCCCACCGGCATATCTGCAAGGAAATATTCTGTCCTCACCACAGTCAGAAAGTCTCTCTGGATCTTCTTTAAGAGCTAAAATATATTCAGAGCCAGTGGTGTGTGTGTGCTAAAGCTTTCTGATGCGTTGGCTTGTTCCCTCCCCATTTTACACACGGGGGAAACTGAGGCTTCATGAGATGAACCCAGTAAGTGGCCACATCTGAACCTTAAACTTTCAGACTACAGAGAACAAGCATACCTTCCCTCCAGAAGAAGGACTTGGTGAGAGAGATTGAGTTCCAGAGCCCGCTAGTGTGAACTCGGTCCTAGATTCACGTCCCACACCACCCTCCATCGGCCAGGTCAAATGTCCCTTTGGACAAGTGTTTCATGGGTATTAACCCTGACAAGCTAATAGAGCAATAACAAACAGCCAGTTTTCATCCTGGAGCACATCCCATGCACCAGGCACTGGGCTGGGCATTTACATATGCAAATATTTTACATCAGCCGGAGGCAAGACTTACTCCTCCCTCACCCGGAGGTGATGAAACTCTGGGCTCAGAGAGCCTTGATAGTAAGAGCAGACTTGGGTTTTGTATGCAGAGATTTGTGACTTCACCCTCTAGCTTTACCTGCTTTCCCCGCAGAAACTGGGGCCCTCCTGGGCATTTGGAAGCATTTGGCTGAAATAGTTTTCACAGAGCACCCTGAGAACTTGGCTTTTATCTCCCACTGAATTTGCTGAGCCTTGAATCACCCAGAACTTGGGATCCACTAATGGAGCCCCCCAAGTTGTTTCTTTGTGGGCCTCTTGTGACACCTTTTTAACACCAGGGCCACAAAACCATGGAGAAGTTGTCTGGGCTCAAGAGAACGTTAAAAGCAGCTCTAATTGTAATGGAATAAACCTCTCGTGTTCTCTTAGTCTTAGATAGTGATTTCCGCAGGAGGAGAGCCTATGGCAGAGAACAGCCAGTCCTGAGACGTAAGAGGGGAAGGGGTCAGTTTTTGCTCTGGTTACCTCCCCCCCCCCCCCCCCCCCCCCCGCTTCGGGTAACCAGCCAACTGGTACGAGATACGGAGCTCCTCGTGGCCACTGCCAAGTCTATGTGATCCTTCTACCACCCACCTGATGGAGGCCCAGGAAGTGCAAGTGCCTTGCTTCCAACGGGGAGGAGATTCCTGGGCGGTAATTTGGTCATATCCGTGCGCCACCCACAGCTTGGATTTCCCCTCTCATGGCGGGTCTCTGACACCTTGCGAGAACACCCAGCAGCCTTGGGCATCAACCATCCCATGAGGGGCCTAAGCCAGGCTCCCTACTCCCATTTCGAATGCTACAATTCAGGGCAGGCCTCTCTGAGTTGGCCTTCCTGCTCCTCACGTAGAATGGGCAAGTACCACCTACTCCAGGGTCCTGCCTCGTCCTTCTCGAGCTAGCGGTGAGTATCGGCTGTCACTAGGAGGGCTGCTCCGTGGAGCCACACTTCAGGCAAGGTTCAGGGTTTACTGAAGGGTGTAGAAGGAGCTGCTAGAGATTCCGGCCCAATCCGCATTTAGGACTATCCACAGCCTGGACGGTTTTCCATTGGAAATCATTCGAAAGATTTACAATAGATCCTAGGTAAATCATGCAAATCTCTGACAAATGGAGCATTTGCCACAAATAGGCTTTGAAGGGTGTTGGTGAAGTCCTGTCTGTGCAGTGTGAGATCCAAGAGTCCTTGAAAGCATTGTATTTATGTATGATACATTTTCACAGAGGCCTTTACATCCAAGAATCTCCATGCCCTCTCTGAAAATCCTGACCTTGCAAGTGCTCACAAGAATCACCCAAGGCTAATGGTGGGGGTGGGGGGGATGAGGAGGCTCCCAATTCCTTCTTCTACCCTCAACTTGGGCTGCTCACTCAACCATGGCAGCAGCCATCAACAGCTTGGAGCATGCCCCTTCCTTGCCTCAAGACCTACTACCCACCTCACAGGGGGAATTGAGAAGACCAATTTAATTTAATTGATTACCACTTACCAAGCTGTGGTTACTCCTCTGAGAGGCCTATTTAAAGTTTCTGAGCTACACAGAGATAACAAAATAAAAAGCAACAGCATAAGGCAAAGGACGATTATCAAATTGCTCTGGGAACCTTCAATGTGAATAAGATATAAAAGAAAGATTGAAAGGTATTAGTCCATAAGTCTCATCGAGGTCAGAGAACTAGAGCAAACCTTCTTAAAAAGACTTTTGAAACAAAACTTTAGAAAATACTTTTACACACACACACACACACACACACACACACATGCTGCAGTCCTTTCTCAGACAAATATGAGTACCTGTCTTAGAACTGCATTAACATTGTTAACCTATTTTAAATTCCTAGGGCACAGCAAGAGTCTTACATACTTATAAGATTTTTTTTTTAATGCATGAGCTTTAAACTTGTTTTCTTACTTTAAATAGATGTATATTAACTCTCCGGTTAGGCTGTAGGACCTCCTAGCTTAGTGGAACAGCCCAACAAAATAAGAATGGCTACAAACTCTGTAATTTACTCACAGGCATAAATGGATATATAAATGTAAAAATGTGCACACTATTTTATGCCATGCTTGGCTTCATTGTGACCTAATGTTTATAATATGTAAATAATGGCTTCCTTTTAAAGCAAAGAACTTTTAATATACAGATTCATCTGAAGTCCTATTTTTTTGATATAAACAGAAATAAAAAGAAAAAATATTCTTTTGCAATAAATAAATACCCAATGACAAAGGTTACCATTGAAGGGATTTAAAATGACAGAAGTCAACAGAAAACTTTCAATATCATACTTCTACTTTAATATGAAGATATTGTTATCAAAGGAAAAGACTCAAGAAATTCTTTGATAAAAATAATCTCACACTATCTTTGAAGCGGTTTCATTTATTTTACTACCCACTGTGTTCCTTATCAGAAGGCCAAGGGTAAGAAGTTTCCTAGTTGTGATTAGGAAAGAATCTGATAGATCAGAAGACCCAATTGAAGTTGGACATAATAAGTATTAAAGTATTACATGACATTAATCCTGCCATTCCATTACTCTCTCCATCTTTGTGCACAGACTAATTATTCTGAAGCCAGTGTTCAGGAGAAAATAGAAACATACTTACTCTGGGCTGGAGTAATCTCTTTATTGCATCAACAAGGCTGGCTCTGTACTGGTCCAGAAACAGGCTGACATTGAGAAGAGAGCAGAATCCAGATTAAACTGGGTTCCAAGTCTAATGATACTAATGGAGATAAGTACAAGACTAATTACACATGTTTACTCAACACTAAAAAAGGAGAAATTGTTTCCTTCCATTCAAGTGTCTCACTGGAACAAAAAAAGATATTGTGGTTGGTGTTATCCACCCGAAGCCAAGTCATCAACATGCAACTGGCCAGGATTCACACATGACTGGGTCATGTGTGAGTGATAAAGGGACAATTTCTAAGCTGCCATTTGGGGGGATCATCTGGTTGAGAGGTAACACTTCCTGTCATGAGAGCCTAGTTTCTATAGACCTGGGCCATCAGCCCACGGAGGGCACTATGAGGCCACCCTCCAGAAACAAACACCAGCCCTCTGATGCCCAAACCACAGAACAGATCTCAGGTGGTGATGGGTTTTAGTGACTAAGAGCAGCACTGAGGTCAGACTCAACCACTGACCTAAGAGTAAACAGTTCCAGAAACAAAGACCAGGTTTAGGCAAGGTATCACACAGGGTTTTTCTCCTTTGACCTCCATGTTGATTTTTTTCGAGTTCACTGTGATTTTTCATTTTTCTTCTCTTTTGAGAATTTCTTTTTTTTTTAATGGTTATTTATTTTTGAGAGAGAGGGAGAGAGCATGAGCAGGGGAGGGGCAGAGAGAGAGGGAGACATAGAATCTGAAGCAGGCTTCAGGCTTTTCACTGTCAGCACAGAGCCCAACGTGGGGCTCAAGCTCATGAACCATGAGATCATGACCTGAGCTTAACTGACTTGAGCCACCCAGACGCCCCCTCTTTTGAGAATTTCCATTTGTTGCTCTGTCACCCCTTTGGTTGGGTCAGGCTAAGCCTTCTTTACCAGGCCTGATCTTGGAAACCTGGGGCAGATTTGTCTTATCTGGGACTTGAGGGCTAAAGCACTGAGCAGCCTTGTGCATCAGCCACCTCATAAGGGGCCTAAGTGGAGCCTCGTCCTCCCGTTTCTAATGCTGCAGTTTGGTGTGGGTCCCTCTGATTTGGCCTCCCTGCTCCTCACATAGCATGAGTAAGCACCACAGATTCGAGGGCCCTGCCTCATCCTCCTCCTCTGAACTCAGCGTGACTACCAGCTCTCAGTAGGAGGGCTGCTGTGCCGAGTCAAACTGCAGGCAAGTGGGCAGTCCAGTGCAGGGTTTAATAGAGTTCTGGCTCTGAACTTTCTACTATGTGTGGCTACGTCGCTTCCCACGAGGCCTCGGTTTCCTGGTCAATAAACGCCCACCTACGTGGCTGTGGTGGGCATCAAATGAATAATATATATTAGTTGACAAATATTTGCTGATCATCTACTACATACTAGGGGCTGTTTTAGGCATTGGAGACATGCTGTGAATAAAACAAAGTTCCCATCCTCAAGGAGCTCCCGGTCTCTCTTCATTTACACACTACAAGTTCTAGCACAACCAGCATACGCACCCAGAAGGTACTCTCTGTAAGTATCTGCTTACTGCCTGACTGGTAGAGAAACATAGTTCTTGAAATCGAGCAACTTACGTACGGTGTTGGTTTCAATGACCCTCAAACAGGCTGTCCGCACTTCTTTACGGGTATTGTTAAGGAATTGTTAAGGAAGAACCAACACTTGGGTAGAAAGTTCCACCAGTTAGGTTGGTTCTCTTCTAAGTCTCTCATTTGAGAAAGGAGTGGGGGAGAGCAGTGTATGAAAAATTGCCAGGAAGTCAGTGCTTGGGTTTCACCATGACGTGTACAGTAGAAGGTTCTTCTACAAAAGGATGCTTTGAGCATCGGAGAAAGAATCCTTTCAAGATGAGCTAAAATCATATCTAGAGTGGGAACCTTATCCCGCTCCATCCATCAATCAGGACAACCTGAGGGTGAGCCAGGGGAAAATGTTCCTATCATTCCATTAAAAAAAAACACGAAAAACCACTAAATCTTAGAGCTTAGAGTGTGTCTAATTCAAATGCTACAAAAACTTGCCCATAAGTCATATTAATCAGTGATTAATAATCATTAAGGGTTGATAAGAAAGGAATCAAATTTGGGGCACCTGGGTGGCTCAGTTGATTGAGCGTCCGACTTCGGCTCAGGTAGTGATCTTGCAGTTTGTGGGTTCGAGCCCCGCGTCAGGCTCTGAGCTGTCAACACAGAGCCTGAAGTGGGGCTTGAACTCACGAACTGTGAGGTCATGACCTGAGCCAAAGTCAGATGCTCAACAGATGGAGCCACCCAGGCGCCCCAATAACATCTTAAATGTTAATAATCAAGCACCCTGGTTTTATTTTTTAAAATGACTATCATTGTGGGACAGTATCTCTGTCAGTTACTCAGGCCCGTAGGAGAGCTGGCTGGTTATGATACGCAACATTAAGCAAAAGACCACTCTTCAGTTTGTACCTGGGCATCCTATGAACTGGTAAGACTGTCAGAAATAATCAGCACCTTAAAAACTGAGCTTAAAACATAACCTTATGAAGCCCTGTTTCCACTCAACGTTGGTGATATGACAAAGATATTAATATTGCAGCCTACTGGAAAATGCACCTTAACACCCAAGCACCCATTCCACACAGGTATTTGAATGGCAGTGTTGTCTACTCCATCCTCCCAAGTCAAATTTCCCAAAAGTAATTCTTACAGTTCTCTAATAAGTCTTGATTCCAAGCAAGCTCACCTTTCTACTTAGCTCTGAGGCAGAATGTATAATGCTTTGTAGGATACGTCATATGAGCAATTTCAATGTGCTTTAGTGGGAGTGATGTATAATCTCCTGAAAATTCACCCCTTAAATAAGTCCTAATGGGCTCTGAGAACAACAGCAGCTTAAGTGGATCTATTTAAAAAAGGCTGAGTGGGTCACTGATTGGAATGGAGATACCATTTCAACTCTCCCTTCTGTTACTGATCAAAATACATGGACAGTTGCACTAGTTTGGCTATTAAAATACACACACACACACATACACACACAGCCCTCTATATAATGCACTTGTGGAATCAACACTTGCTTTGTTCCATTGATCTGGTCTGATTTCAGGACAAAGGAAAGGTGCTAGGCCATTTTCACGGCCACCCTTAGAATCAGAGTTTTAGGCAGAGCACAGAGCACCCAACCCTCCACTCATAGACAAATTAATTAATGAGTGCAGTGGACAAGGAGACATTTCTCGGTCAGTATCCACAGAAAGGAAGGTCTCTATGCAATCTTTAAGATGACATGTGCTAAGTTAAAGATTTAACTTTCAGAAGAATGGCCTCTATCAATATTTATCAACTGATTGCTGTGCAGCCAGGGTTGATGGGGGGTCTGATTGCCCGTGGGGCTACCCCTTAGGGTGCCAGATCTTTGACAATTTGTTTATCTTCTTTGGGACTGAGTTTTAGGTATGGCTGAGTTTAGGTAAAAGGGCTGGCCGCATTTGGGTTAAAGAGTTTTTCAGGTGGGAAGGCTGCAATTTAGAACTATCCACGAGCACAGCATCTGGAAGAAAACAAAGATATTCTAGAGCTTGTTTTGAGAAAAAAAATTTTTTTTTTGTTGCCACAAACACACCTTAAAAATCAAACTTTTTTCATCATTTAGAATAATAGAAAATAGGAACAACCCACCATACATAGTGTAAAAATGCTAAGAGAGCCAGTGGGGTGGTGTAACCTTCCCCCATTTCTCCACAAAGTCTCAGATGGCGCTTGCAGGCACGGTGCTGACTGTCCTGCGGACCTAGCGCGATGCATCAGGCTATGGGTGGCATTTTAGACTTCCTTTCCAAGCCTTTAGAGAATCCAAACATACAGAATCATTTTTATTTATTACAGAGCTACAATAAACTGGACAGCCATCGAACACTGAATGAAAGCGTTCATTGGGTGAAAAAAAAAAAAAATCTTACTTCCAGACTCTGAGATTATTGTGACTGAACAGGAGTCTGGAAAGGCAGGCTGAAAATTAACAATCACGTGCTAATCTAAACTCAGCAAGGACCAGGCTGGACTGCATTCGGGTAGAAAGGAACTCTTACATTAAATTCGATGTTAAACAAGTCAACCGAGGAACTTAACAGGCAGGTTTTTCTTCTACACCTGTGGTTAAATATTCTAATATTGTGATGTTTGTCAACAGCATCCTTTCGCAGGTGTACCTCAATTTTTTTCCTCTTGTTTATTTCAAAGTTGACATTTTACAAGTTATTTAGAAACTGTTGAACCATGAAACTATATTTCATTGTCAAAAATGCTGAATGGTGAAATACTGGCTCGCTTTCGCAGCTTGCCTCTTTATTTTAGAATCTGGGGAGCTCCTAAATTTAGACGTGAGCGAAGGAGACCGTCTCTTCTGGGAAAGAAGTCATTTCCCCCACAGCCCACAGGTTTATGAATGTTTGAATGTAAATATATGAATATATGAATGATTTAAAAACATAAACATATCACCCGCTCGTTGTAATCATGTGCATTTTCCTTGAACCGCAACGGTGGGTTTGGAATAGGTTTGTGAATGGGGTTTGTTTTCATGTAAATGGGATCAAGCAGTCCCACTGGTTAGCTATTCAGAGAATCAGACAATGCCACCCTTGCTGGAAATGCTTCAGTAAGGATTTAATCCATGAACCTAATATTGGAACTCCAACTCTTGCTTCATATTCCTATGGCCTAATCCAGATCTCACGGATAATAACTAAAGGACGGGGTGCGGCAGTGTGATCTGTTTATGCGTGGCACCTATTTCTGCCACTGCGTATTTCAAGTTTCATCTTGGAGGTGGTGTCTAAAGAGAGTTGTTTTTTCTTTTCCCCTCCTCTGTAACATTGTGGGGAAAAAAAAATGCAGCATGGTCTGCCTGCCCGTCCCCAGAAGCATCACCCACGCCAATCACTGACAGAGCAACACCAAACCGTCAGGACATAAAGAGCTCACGGAGCCTTTGCTTCACTGCTATGTGTACAACATGCATATTAAAAATATCACTGTGCTTTCTAAGTTTCTAAGCAGCTTACCCATCCCTGTGAATATGAAGAGAGACCATTACCAAAGCATTTCTTCTGGAAATCATATCGGCATTGCAGTGAGACTAGCTTAATGTTTCACATTTACAAATGGGAAATTATAAACAGGCTGACATTCTGGCACTTACGACACCAGGGGGAAAAAAAAACTTAACAACTCACGCATAGAAAAGCCATTTGTAAAATAAAACTTGGTATATTTAGTTCATTTGAATCCGTAAATACTCACATAGCTCCTGGATGTGTGTGTGTCTGTGTGTGTGTGTGTATACATCTAACATTGTGCTATGTTATGTATTTGCAATGAAAGCCTCAACTGAATATGCATTATGTATATCGGTTGTACGTGACCCTGTTGTTCGCTAGGGGAAAAAAAAGACTATTTCTCAAACATGCTGTGTGGCTATTTTTAACCTAACTGAGAACATTAATCAGAAAAGAGCTTATATCTTACTTCCGCTGCTTGTCTCTCTGGTACAAATAGGATGACATGGTGTGAGTGTCCATAGCACAAGGTCTGACAAAGCCAGGCTGTTCTGATATTTGTGTAAGGGACACATTTAACTCTAAATCTCCCAGCCAGACCTGACTTTCTCCACATATCAGAGCCCACGCCTGCGACCCTGTCTAAACCTCCAAGAAGATGCCTCCCTGCTTCCCTCTTCCTGCTGCTCTCTGATCTTTCATGCTTAATCTCATCTAATCCTGCCAGCATTATCTTCACCTGTGCAATGAAACCTGGAGGATCCTTTCTCATATTTGGTGAGGAGAGGCAGTTACTAAATTACTTGCTCAAATCGTATGGTGAAGTTTTAGTGCCTTGGTTTTGATCAGATGAGGGATATAACATTAGGCACCATACCAACGATTAGTCCAAAATCTGTTTCTCCCTCTTTTGGAACAAGGTTTTCTGAAATTGGGTGCAAAGACACTAAAAGGCCATGGAAAACTAGAAATAGAACAAATTCCTTCTTTTCCCTTGAGAAGTATTTTTCAGAAGAAAAAAGAAAGCAAATCTAATTCCAGTGACTTACGTAGAAGAGTTACCTATTGAAAATCTTACTTAGAATAATAATAATAATAATGACGGCCCGAAAATTTCATCCCATTTCTCTCTGGGGAAAGTTTTCTCCAGGTTCCGGATCTCGTAATTGGGTCGATTGATACAACAGAACTTCTTCAAAATCCGAACTTGTGTTTTCAAATCTAAAGTGTCATAAAACCATGATAAAACGACAAATAACATCTTACTCTTACCAGGGAAAGAAATACTTTCGAACTGTCAACGTTCCCCGTATGGTGAAATAATTCTTATTTGACGTGCATGAAGAAAATACCTAAGATTATTTGAAATAATTATTAAGGTTTGATACATATTTATCCTGCAACTTGGGATCAGACTCTCATTAACAATGAGTAGATTGAGCTAAAAGAAAAGACAAAATATCTAATGTAAATTATTTTTAAAACACAGGCACCTGACAGAGATTTTAATGTTATTTGCATAACAATAAAATGTAATTTTATAATTCCTGTTTTGTGTATAATTAAATATCATAATTGAATACATTGAAAATTTAGATAACAAACATACATTTTAAGAAAAGATATTTCCCCGAAGATATTCCACAAATACGTTTATTTGTAGGAGCATATACGTGCGTGTACACACATGTACCTATATTCCCTTATCTCAATAGTCAGATCTCTCCTAAGAAGTAAGCTAATTGAGCTGTTTGTGTTGATAAACTCCTTTTTCTCCAGACTATTCCTCTCCGAGCCATAATTATTTGCAATTTGCCTAAGTCGTCCATTTACTGATACGTCAAGCATGAAACAGAGGCAATTCCAGAAAATGGAAATGCTTCTCAAAATCAATCTTTGGGAAATAATGTGGTAGAAGTTACTGTGTGATAGAAGACTACCTTATAACTGTCACATGGAGATGAATATTAATTTGTTGAGGTTAAGGTGGCTTTGTGCTTCATTTGTTGACTTGGCTTAGCCGTCAGCAAAGCAGCACAGCCCAATTACTCCAGCAAAGCTATTTTTTCTAACAGGAGTTTTATGATTTTTATGTACTTACCAGTCAGCACACATAACAATGTCAAAATGTCCTTCCAGTTGAGAGACATCTGTCTCATTATCCCATCGTAAAACGCTTGAGGAGAAAAAGATTTTAAAAATTATACTTAGGGTTTTTTTTTTTTAACTTTTGATTTTGAGCTATTAACATTATTTTTTGTGGCACTTGAAATTATTTAAAAGGTATATACAAATTATTTCAAAAGGTATAATAAAAAAATTAAGGATGTAACTGTCTGTTCTGTATTTTACTTAGTCTTCAAATCTAGAAGAGGAAGAATTCTCTATTTAGATACAATAGTTAAGCTTGTGCTAGTTTTTATAGTTTTTTTTTTTGTAGATGAACCAGGGAAAAACATCTTATTTTTACCATAGTCATTACAATGAGTCCAGACTCTTAACATCAATGAGGTACATATTGAGATCAAAGTATTCCCCGTCTGACTGGAATACAAATTTATAAAAATAAATGATGTGAAACTTAGTGTGTATCTATCTTGCCTGGCATGTCAGTTGCCTTTCTGATTGAGGGAATGAGCAATTTGGCAGGATGGAAGAAGAGCCAACTTTCATTTTTGGTAGTTCTAGTTTTTAGGCACATTTTAAAATTCACCCATCCTACCACTTAGTCTCCCTAAGAGGATCAGGTTTTAAACCTCATATTAGCAACAATAATTAATAGCACATATTTAAAAATTCTAGTTGTGCTTATGAAGCCAACCAAAGATTTTAAGTTACTTTTAATTAATAATGGGGATAATCAGCATTTTACCACATTAAAGTACTTAATGATTCCTCTTTCCACATCAAAAGTGATTTGCAGTGCTATTTTTCAAAGGAAAATTGTGCTCCTATCTTCTACTTTGATTGCTATTTAAAACCAAACTGAGTGAGCACATTCAACCCTGTCCAGGTATATTTGGTTTTCCTGGTGGGTTCTTTATTTCTTTTCCATCTTCCCTGGGTGAAAAGCCATATATTTGAATTAAAAAAACAAGTCTTATGTCGGTAAGTCCAAAAGTTCTTCCCCTATACACTAATATACACAAGTGGTAGTGAATTTCTTAACGCAGAAAAGATTAAACACATCACTACGAAAATATCTATACAGACTGAGCATCAGTTCCCCATTCACTCATCAACTCGTTGTTACTGAGCACCCACTGTGTCGCAGGCCCTGCGCTGTGCCACAGGCTGTATCTTCATGATGGCAGCCTAGCAGGACATGCAGATACATAAACCTATAATTCTGATGCTGTGTCCTATGTGTTGTGTAAGCATACAGACATAATAGAGCTCCAGGGAGGGCTTTCCAGAAGAACGTGTCATGCCATGACACTTGGGCAAGCTTTCTAAATTAACTCTACTGTTGTACTTACTTGGGCCTACTGGAGAGCCAAGGAATGGAAAAACCAGGGAAGCTCTAAGAGATTAAGGCTTACTTTGTTTTTAGATTAATTCCTCAGAAACTCCATGCACCTGAGGAGAGTGGGACACAACCGATATCAACTTTTATGGAAATGCTGAGGCCTCCACTGCAGCTGGAACTCCAGCTCCCTGGGAAACTGGGCCCATTGAGCCCTCATCAGAGACCTAAGAGTCCTAAAAAGTTACTACATGAAGAAGCTAGTTGAAAGTATAGATCTATGCTTGACCTTTTCAAATCATAAAAATAACGTACCCATCGCACAAATTTTAGGAAAAAGAGAGAACTGTGAAAATTACTCATAATCTTACCATTCCGTAAACCGTTATTTAGAAAGTGGTTCTAACACATAAGTAGTTACTAAAGCACATGAACAGAAAATGTAGGAAATCCTGTGGTGGGTACTGCATGTTGGATTCCTGAGGTGCTTCACCCTTTGATTCAACAAAGACAAATTGGAGAGACAGGGGCCTAGATAGCAATTGGCTGTGGATTACCACAGCAGATGTAACGAGTGATTCTAAAAGAAACTGAAATGCTTGGCTTGGCCACATGGACCACAACACATTCCCAAAAGGCATTTGTCTTAGTTCTCATGAGGCTTATGGCCATGCTATCCCCATAACTGTAAGCATGTGACAAAAGAGTGGTGTATAGACAGAGTTCAGCTTTGGGGTGACAGGCACACCTAGGTTCAAATTTTGGTTCCTTCCTTGACTGGCTATGTGAACTTAGAGTTTGCCTTCTCAGCTGTAAAATGGAGAGAACAATGGCCACCTTCTTGAGAACACCATTCACACTGTATTCTGGAGTTACGGTGTTCACGTAGCATACGATGAGAAGGGTGCCCGCTGGAGCTATGCAATCAGGAGACCTTCCATCTTGGAAGGAAATTGACGATGGTGACGTCAATATTCAAGAAGCTGGGCCTTCCTATTCTTCTCTTCCAATGACCTTGCCCTCCACCCTTCTCAGATAACTCACAGGATGGTCATGTACACTAGAGCAGTATTTTAGCTGTGGGGAAGGAACAGATTTTGTTGTTATGGTTTTTAGACCCAATCTGTTGCAGACTAACCCTTTTATCAAATACAATATAAATTAATAGACAGATGAGATTTTAAAAGCCAAGACATTCTAAATAGAAGTCCACCGATCATATGCTTGGATAGCACAGTAGTGTTCCTAAACGTTTACTTTCAGTTTCTGAACTTACCTCATTGCAGATGAGTAGCATGCAGTTCACATATTGGCTCCAGCGTATGGCCTATTTGTTGAGCAACACTGTTCAAGACCTTGTCTTTATGAATAACTACAATCCTGACCTACTCTCTGACCAGCCCTTTCACAGCTAACTCCTTCCAGAAGGTATTCTAATCTCAACCATTCTTCATTCTTCTACTCGCTTTTCCCTTTCTTACTCCCTCCTGTTTGTTAAATCCAGCCCTCCGCCTGCTCTGAGACTGCACCTGTGCACCTGAGTGTGATTGGAGAAAGCACAAAAGCATCCTGACTGGCTTTGCTTTAAATTCATAACCATGAACCCCAAGTGGACTCTTGGCGATGTCTAACAGTTATACTTAGACTTCCCTTGTCCACTTACTCCCCCAGTCTCCCAGGTTGTTATTTTGCACTACCTTCTCTTTTCAAAATGCTAAGACTTCCTCTCTCACCCTCACTCTCAGCTGATCACCTTGCTTCCTACTTTACTGTCAAAATTGCAGGTATCAGATGAGAACTTCCACATACTCTCACCACCACACTTATGCTCCTAACAGCATCTGTTCCCATATACCCTGCCTTCCTGCCTGTTATCATAGATGAATTAAAGATGCCATACCCTGGGGTGCCTGGGTGGCTCAGTCAGTTGAGCATCCAACTCTTGACTTCGGCTCAGGTCATGATCCCAGGGTCGTGGGACTGAGCCTCATGTCAGGCTCCATGCTGGGCATAGAGTCTGATTGAGATTCTCTCTCTCTCTCTCTCTCTCTCTCTCTCTCCCCTCTATCCCTTTCCCTCACTCACATGCTCTCTCTCTCTCCCTCTCTAAAATAAAATAAAAAATTTAAAAAGATGCCATACCCCTATCTAAATCTAGTACCTCTTCTTATATAATAGGTGCAGCCTCTTTCATCTTTTCTAGGATATGGCTCTAGCAATTCTCCCTTCTCTATCCTGTAGTACCACCTCTGTTCTGGATCATTTCTATCACTATTCAAACGTAGTTATTTTCTCTCTCCTAAAATATCTTAACTCTACTTACCCTCCAGTTTTAACTCTATTGCCCAATTCCTCCTCTGCAGGAAAAATCCATGAAAAAATTGTTTAAACTCTTTATTTTCAATTCAACCTCATAGTTTACAGGGTACTGGGTACAGTCCTCAGATGGGTCTTGTCTCGGTAGGGGAGAATATTTAGTCCTAGACTGAATGCTACTCTGGTTCTGCCTAATAAATATTAAAAGCAAGACCCAAAAGTTATTTCAAAATAACTGTGACCCAGAACAAAATTCAGAAACATTTACTGGACTACAACAACGTTCGATTCCAACAAGATAAAATATAAAATACCTGGCATACAATCAAAGATTACCAGGCATGCAAGGAATTGAAATAACACAACCAATAATGAGGCAACTGGTTTCAAACAACTGAAACCAGTCTAAACCTGCCACAGATGTTAAAATTAACAGACAAGAGCATTAAAATAGTTATTATAATGATATTCATTGTATTTAAAGAAATGAATAGAAACAAGAAAGATATTTTCAAAGTCCCAAATCAAACTTCTAAAGACGAAAACTACAATGTCTGAGAGGAAAAAAATACATCAGATGTAATTAATAGCAGATTAGACATTTCAGAAGAAAAGATAAGTGAATTTGAAAACAAAGCAATAGAAACTGTCCAAAATGAAATATAGATAGAAACAAAGAATAGAAATGAATTAAAAGAGGTTAGTGAGTGAGCTGTAGGGCAAATTTAAATGACCTCAAATATGTGTAACTTGAGTTTCCAAAGGACAGAAGCGAGGGAGGAGCGTGCATGGAAATTATTTGAAGAAATAATGGCTGAAATGTTTCCAAATTTAATGAGAACTATTAACCCACAGATCAAGAGATTGCACCAACTCCAAGCACAAGAAACATGAAGAAAACTATAAGGCACAAATAATCAAATTGCCCAAATGCAGTGATAAAGAGAAAATCTGAAAAGCACCCAAAGGAAAAAAAGACACATTTTATATATAAATAAAGGTAAGAATGACAGGATATTTCTTGTGAGTAATGGGCAAGTCCGAAGACAGTGGACTGACATCCTTAAAGACTGAATGGGAAAAAAAATCTGTCAACCTAGAATTATATAGCCAGTTAAAATATATTTTCCCCCAAAATGTAAAATAGGTATTTTCAGACATACAAAGCCTCGAAGAATTAATCATCAGTAGATCTATAGTACAAGAAATGTAAAGGAAGTCATTCAGGCAGAAGAATGATCATAGCAGACGAAAATATGAATCAACAGAAAAAAATGATGAGAACCAAAAATTGTAACTATATGGGCAAATATGTAAGATTTTTTAAATTATTTACCTCTTTGAAATATAATGGACTAGCTAAACAAATAACAAGTACTGTGGAGTTTATAACA